TTTGTCGTGGGTGCAGTGATTGTGGGGTGGTGGAGACGCGTCGGCAGGTTTTGCATTTCTTGTCCTGGCGCGGTCTGGATCCATTCGGTGCGTGTTTGGGTCATAGGAAGTTTGCGTCTGGTGATGAGGCCAGTGAGGTTCGGTGCTTGTGTGAAGGCCGGGGCGGGTGGCTCTGGGCAGATCTCTTTAGGAGCAGGGTCTCTTTCTGGCAGGGGCTGCAGTCTGAGGATTTTCCGTACGGGTTCAAGGGGGGCTGATCTGTCATAGCCAGTGGTGTGCGATTCGTGGGGGGGTTTCTTCTGTACGGCAGCACTTCTTCACGTGGTATCCGGGTGGCTCTTTCAATCCTGCGATCTCTCTCTGGGGGAGTGTCCTTGTTGGGTGGATGCATTTTTAAGGTTGCAGGTTTTCTCAGTGCAAATTTGGTGGTATCTGGGGGCTTGGGTGTATATCACAGCTTTTTTGGTGTGTTTAGGGTGATTGCTGGATCTGTTCAGATATGTCTGATGGTCTGTGGGTTTTTTGTATAACATGGTCTGTATTTTACCATTCAGGATCCTGATCATGGTGTCTAAAAAGGAGAAGTTGGTGCTGCAGTATGCTAGAGCAAGTCAGATGGAGGAGGGATGGTGATTGTTGACTTTCTGATGGACCTCAACCAGGGATTGCAGGTTTTCAGCCCAAACGATGAAGATGTCATCATTATATCTTAAGTATAACAAGGGTCTGATGGTGCAGTTCTCGAGGAAGTCGTCTTCCAGGGGGCTTATAAAAAGGTTGGCATACTGTGGGGCCGTTTTGGTGCCCATAGCTATGCCCATGGTCTGCAGGAAGTGCTGGTTATTAAAAGTGAAATTGTTGTGTGAGAGGATGAAGCGTACAAGGTCAGTAATGTCCTTGGGGCTGTGCTCTGCGTTGTAATCTTGTTCCTGTAGACATGTGAGGCAGGCTTGAATGCCGTCCTGGTGTGGGATGTCGGTATATATGCTGGTAACGTCCGTGGCGGCTAGGAGGGTGTTGCTGGGAAGGTGGTCTGTGCTTTTAAGTTTCTGTAGAAAGTCTGTGGTGTCTTGCTCTTTGGGTGACAGGCGGTTTTAGGGTTGATTTGATAAAACCTGAGATTTCCTCAGTTAGGTTCCCATGGTTGGATTGGACAAGTCTGCCAGGGGTCCCTTGTTTGTGGGTTATAGGGAGCATGTAAAAGGTCCCTGGATTGGGTAGTGGGGGGGATCAAGGTCTGTAGTTTTTCTTGTAGTCCTGATGGAAATGATTTGATGGTGTTGTTGAGTTTCATGGTGAAAAGGGGAGTAGGATCTTCTTGTAGTTCTTAGTAGTAGGTGGTGTCAGAGAGTTGTCTGTTGGCTTCCTTTATGTAGTCTTCACAGTTTAGGATGACTATGGCTCCACCTTTATCTGCTGGTTTTATTACCATTTGGTAATAAAACCTACAACCCTTTTACTAGTAATAGCACATTAACCAATTATGAGTCTTAAACGTGTTACATCATGTAAACGTAACATCATTTCTCGTGGTACATTGCAAGAGTGAAATAAACCTAGGGGATATCTTTAGCTACAGAAACCCGATAAAGCGTACAAGCATCCCTAGATTAAGAAATGTCCTGGTTCCCTCACCAGCAAGTCTTGCTCCCTGCACTGTTGATCACAGTCCCAGGTCTCGCTGGGATGTCCAGGGGCGCAGTCCAGTAACTCGGCTGTGTGGCAGAAAGCCACCTTGGTTTCTCCCCAAAAAATCTCTGCCCTGTGACACTGTGATTTAAATCTCTGTGCTGTGACCATTCAATTAGGATGGGCCCAGCACACAGGGGACCACACCCTCAGCCTGTCTCTTTAGGGAACTGGAGCTGGCTGCATTGCTGAGGGAGGGGGAAACCTGCTCCCTCTGCCTACGTGACTGGTACCTGGGT